TGATTGTGTTATCAGGAATCCAAAACACCAAATTTGTCCCCCAGTAGTTAGAGCTTGCGCAAAAGAAGTCACTTTCCCCATAGCACACATGAAAACACAGGAAGCTTTCAATGAAGTCTTCATGTTAGCACTACCCAAGGGACAATCGTTTGGTATGGCTTAATGTTATTTAAAACTTTTTTGGTAAAAATGGTTTTCCGTCAGGGACTATTGCAAAGAGATTTACAGGACAAGCAGATGTTGCTTTCACAACCGTTATGACATTGTTATAGAGTTTTAAAAAAACCATAAGTTAATGTTAAAGTTATTTCTGAGGCATACAAATGCAGCTGTCTTTGAGATTCCTTATCATACATGTTCATATGACCTTATGTCTGTTAGAACAATGTTCTTCAGTACATTTCTTTCATTAACAAGTGTAGCCTCATGTTATGGTTATTGATAACACAAATACAGTTTTCATACAGTCTTGGAGATCAATTTGATCAATAAAATAATGACATTAATGTTATATTTTGATCATGAAGTCTTCTTGAGTCACTTTTCTTTAATAATAATTTTTTTTAACCAAGCATTAACCTTCAATGATTGACTCAATGGCTGATATACTGTACAGTAATGTTAACACCAACTGACAGTTGGTGTAGTTTTGGGACAAAAAACAAGGCATAACTTGCTTAAAATGAGAAATGTCTAACAATATCTCGAGTGATCTTAGACTGAGTTTTAGCAATTATGCACCATTTACAGCTATGGTTAAAAGTTTGCGATAAAGTCTCACCACCTCTTGCCAGTCGTTTGGAAGGCTGATTCCGAGGGCATTTCTAGCATAATCAAAGTAGTCTTGATATTCATTAACACTTCTCTGAATTATGAGCTGAGATACACAGTCAATTTGTGACTGAGGAACATTTAGCAGAAGGTTTCCAACAGCCCCATGAAACTCAGACAAATAGAATAGTGAATCAGTCTACCAGGGACAATTTGGTGCCTACTTTTCCTAATTCTGTGGCTGTTCCGGTGTTCTTTAACAATGTCAGGGTTGTTCTGGATAACTGGTGCAAAACAGTTCCACAAACATTCCATACTTAATTCAGAAGAAGAGTACAAGACACCCTCAAGTTCCAAATCTTGGAAAAAATTGCGCCACCATGTTGACCTGCTCCATGAATAAAATGACCACCACCCTTCAATTCTTCGGTTTCTAGGTGATGAGATATAACTGTGGGCATCAGCATCATCATGAAAATAAGACTGCATTAATGCTGCCAATCCACTTTCAGTGCCAAGATCTGTAATTAGCTGTCTAGGGCACCCTTTCAATTCCTTTACAGTACTTAAGAAGTAAGTGGCAGTGTTGTCTGGTAAGTTGTTGGACCTGGTAACCTCAAGCCATAATATTTTCCAGCTGAAGCCATCTATGGCCCCATGTATGGGAAACCCAAAGGGCTTCAGTTTGTCATAACCATCTATGTGCCAAGTATCATTTGGCCCAAGACAGTGATAAGTCCTCCTCTTCAATCGGTGAGCTTTCCTCAACTGGCAACCTTCTGGATCTACCTCTTTTAATATATCTTGAACTATTATCTAGGAACATTCAAACCTTCGATCTTTAAGGTGTGCCATCATGTATCCCCCACATGATCCAGGTCCACGGATAATCTCAAGGGTATGTTTTCTAACTGCCTCTAAAACCTCACCAGAATCATCCGCCTTAAAAAACTACTTCTCTTAAGTCCATATGTCTTTAATTGCCTTAAAAGTGTTACTTATTTCATGGTCATGACGCTTAGCAAGGAAATGAATGATTTCTTCATAGCTAAAACCGCGTTGAAAATAATATTTGATGACGGTCTCTTCATCAATTTCCACCTCAACTTCATTGCTAGAGTCTTTATCCTCACCTGAATCTTCTAGCCTTAGGTCCTTAAAAATATAGGGATGAACACAGGCCACTTTTTCTACCTCTTAACATGTACAATACAACACAATACAATACAAAGAGAATCAAAGAGAAAAAAATATAATCGACTGACTGTTTGCAAGCGTACAGTATTTTCCACCTTTTGAAAAATCCTTAATTTATCCAGGCACATACATTATGAATGCTTTCTTTTTACACACAGGCTACATGCACAATCTTATTCCAGACATGTGCTAATCAGCTAATCCGTGGCAGTGTCTTCTCACGCCTATCGTTATTTGGAACAAAAAGAAATTCAAAAACGAACAATTTAAATTAAGAAACGTACCTTTACCACAGCTTTTGCAAAAGTTTGCATCTTCGTCAACTTCCGAACCACGCGCGGAGCAAAACATCGTGAGCTCGAAAAATGGCGGTTTTTTGAGCGAGCGGTGTGTTACTGTTACACGACATACCATTTCAGATGCCAATATCAACCGCTGACCAACCGCTGACCAACCGCTGACCAACCGCTGACCAACCACTGACCAACTCGCTTTCTTTATTTTGCCGTGAGTTAATTTTGTTTTGCTGTAAGTGAATTTTGTTTTGCCGTGACAGTTGTGGGCCACCGTCGGACAAGAAATACATTTTTAAGCAAAAAACTCGATAAATAAACCATAAAGAAACCTAATATGACATGTAACTTGTGTTAGGGACGGAAGCACATGTAGCTCAACAGAAATAGAGGTGAGAATACTTTTAATGATTGATTCATTACATCTACAGCACAAATGTTCAGCAATATTTCTCTCCTTTCCTTTCCTATACCTCGCTTCCTTTTCTTAGTTTGAATCTGAAAATGAATATTTATAGAGTATACAGTTGTATTTACTTTTTCTACTTATCTATCTTGTTTGATAATTAGCCTCTACCAAAGAAATTTATCAGGTTGTCAACACATGTCACCATTGGATTGCTTCAGAAGTTCTTAGCTTGGAGACTACACTTGGGCTCTGAAGACATAATGAGAAGAATTCTGATTTAAGACATCAGAATTTTATTTGTTGCTAAACTGCTGGTATTTACTACTAGTACAGATAACAATGAAGGCAAAACAGACTATAATTTTACTTGTACATGTAGTTGAAATGGTACTGAATATACTAACCTGGCAGGAATAAATGCAACTTTGTAATTTTGTCCTTTCAGGTGGGCATCCTTTATGATAAAACAGAAATGGGAAGGGATCTTACACTGAAGTACATCAGTGATAATCTCTGTCCTCCGAAGGTAATTGCTGGTCTGATTCTCCAATATCATCTATAAAACAAAGCGGGTCAAACAGCCATGCATAGGTACATGTACCTGACGATACCATCCACCTTACTGCAGTAATAAAGAGGGTCTGCTTGGGTACTTATAAGGGATTACCCCTCAATATCCATTCTCCTGTACTTCCTTATAATTGCTGATCTTGTTGCTAGTTTTTAAGTTTCTTATAACATTTTCCTGTTTTAGGAACACTCCGCGCCCTTGATTCTACATCACAGAGCTATGGATGTAAGCTTTACAAGATGACCAACTGTATGGTCAACTCAAAATTGATTGTTGTTTAGTGTTTTAGTAACGTTTTAGTAATACATGTTTTGTAAAGCTTAATAACACTCCTG